GTATAAAATGGTACAGTCAGATCCACCACCTTCGGCGTGGCGCCTCGCTGGCATCCTGCCATCAACCGGGGAAGGATGGGGGGAACAAATGGGCAATAAAGCTGTATACCTTTATGATGGGAAATTGGGAGCAGGAATTGACAGTTGAGAAAGAACAGAGCATTTTGGAATCTGGTCCGTGCCGGCATCTTCAAGGCCATTTGCCCTGAGAGTGGAATTTCACCAGCCCAAACACCCCAGAGTTTCCCAAAACATGTCGGCAGGGCCGGATCGGCTGCGCACTGACGGCCCATGGGGGGAGGGCCGGGGAAACCAAGGGGTTAGTTCTGTGTTGATACGCAGGGACCATAGATTCCGCCTGGCTTTACTGCAACCAGCATCTCTTAGTAAAAGTGCCTTTTCACTTCAACCGAATGGAGTTGAGAGTTTCCTAGGAGATGATACTGGGGCAGGTCTGACACTTCATGCGTTCTTGATACTCTCCCTCCGTTAATGCAGCCTAGGACTGCATTGTTTGTTAGTTTGTTTTTTGGTTTCTGCAGCACACTGCTGACTCATACTCAAGTGGTTGTCCACCAGGACTCCTTGATCCCTCTCACGGTTACTGCTATTGAGCCAAGGACCACCTATTCTGTACCTGTGCATTTGGTTTTTCTTGCCTACTTAGAGTTGGCATTTAAAGTGGCACCAGACTGACAGACCTTGCTTAATTTCATGAACAGACACTGAAAGTTTTTAAAACTAAAGTGGGCAACCATTTGACCAGGATATTATACGGTCTCCTGCCCTGAGCAGGGGGTAGGATTAGAAGACCTCCAAGGTCCCGTCCAATCCTATGATTCTATGTTCTATGAAAATATCAGTTTGGAACCTAGAGAGGGATGGAGTCCTTCTGTGACTAACTATACAGCAAGTAAACATGTTTGGTTTCTCACATTCCCCAGCTTGAAATTCATATTTCAGTTTGTTTGGGGAACAAAAAGGCGTTGCTCATTTGTTTAATAGGTTTTCCATAGTATTGGCAGATGCTTCAAAGTCTGATATCTACAAATGGGGAAGTAATCTTCCGGGAAAAGAGAGCAAATTTTTTTGCAACTATTTTTGAATTTATTCCTCCTGAAAATGCCATGCTCGTTGGCTTAAGGAAGGAAGCAAAGCCCATCCATTTCCCATCCATATTTGAACCAGAAGAGGAGGGAAATCTAAGATGTTTCTCTCCACTGTACCCAGCAGTATCCTGGCAATAGGATCATCTTTTAGTTCGGATTCTAGGTTCTGTCTTATTTTCATCCATTTTTAGTCAAAATAGGGAAATTAGCTTTGCTGTGGTACAAATTGTGAAGGTAAAGAGATTCCTTCATGTGCTGCTACCATTGGTTTCCACTCCATTAAAATCCAATGGCTGTAATTCTTTAGCACTTCTTGACCTCCTGTCCTCAGAGTATAGACAGAGAGATAAAAGCTGACTCTGGCTCTCTTCTTTGTCTGCCACTCTGCGTGATCCTGGCCCAAGAGATTCTTAATCTTCTTCCTTTCTTCCCTGCACAGAGCACAGAGCTCTTGGTTTTTCCTCCTGGAGGACATAGCAGGTGCTCAGCTTTCTCAGAATCGCTATCAAGTTGGTTGGGGTTTTTTTTCTCTTTCATTTAGTGAGCTTGTAAAACATAATAAAATTAAAGTAATGGTACAAAGAGTTGACTGGTTGCCCAGAAAGCGATGTAAAATAATATTATTAAGAGTGAACAAGGCTACAGTTATAAAGAAATTAGAAGAAAAATTGGTGGAAACTTAACCAAAGGTGGCATTTCTACTGTACACTTTTTCCAAAGGGTTTCCACAATTTTGGCCACTCCTGTAGTGTATTCAACAAAAGTATTTTGGGAAGAACAATGTCCCCGGAGTTCCTTTGCTGGATTTGCTAGCTGGACATCTGACTGAATGAATACATAAGCAAACCCTACTAGTTGCACATAACGAAATGTGTAAGAAATATAGAATGCCATCTTTACCATTATCCCCAGAGTATTGTTTTCTACTTGATTGTTTGTCTATTGTTAACGCTTGATTTAAGTATTGAAGGCTGATACACGGACCAAAGCTAAAGTCCTGCATTGATTGGAGCCGGTCTTCTGCAGGGCTATGACTTCCTCTAGTCCCAAAAAAGTTTTTTCTAGCCATGGTGATTCTTCAGAGGTTCTGCCATTAGCAGTATGTCTGAGAAGCAACGAAGAAACACTGCATGCATGGAGATGGGCAATTAGACAAAGTTTCAGAAATGTGAAATATTGCAACCGACCAGACCTGGTTTAACTATCCTTCTCCAGTTAACAAGCTTAATCTATGGTTGAGGACCACAGGTGGGAGAGCTGAACTGGTGAAACCCCACTTGAAATACTGTGTACAGTTCTGGTCATCACAATGCAAAAAAGATGTTGGGACTCTAGAAAGAGCGCAGAGAAGAGCAACAAGGATGATTAGGGGACTGGAGGCTAAAGCATATAATGAATGTTAAGAGAA